TATCATAGAAAAGCCTTTGACATTGAAAACACAAATTTTAATCAACATTGATGTTGTGATCTTACCGCGAAAAGATGGGCTTCTGATATCCAAAAGACAAAATAAATATTTTACCATCGGTACACGAATCGTGTACCATAATGCGTTTTAGAGCCATTTGTTACAAGGCACTCGAAGAACAAGACTAGACATATTCCATAAGTCCTGTCAAACGGTGATGCCATATTCTTATCTGGAGATCATACACAATAAATACTATCAGTGTAGACTGATAGCCATTTGATTGAGACTTTTGGCACATTTTGCCGAACATAACTGATTTGAAATTACAGTAAAATCAGAAACGATTGAATGTAAAACAGTTTATATACATTCATATTACATTATATTATATGCGTTACGACACATTTGTGTCAATATCTAGGTCCCAAATATTAACGATTTAGCTCCTTTAAAATCACTCTTGTGTGATGAGGAATTTCTCTTTAAAAAGAACCAGCTGAGTTTTACAACATTGTATTCATAATGAATTGCATCATCACAACCCACAAACCAGATAACTCGATCACAGTGTGCTTGTTCCTGTTTACCATATGCACAGCATACAGGATATTATTACTACACATGTCTGTGCTGTGAGCAAGATTTATATCATAGTATATTAATGCAATAACTACCGTGTAACATATGTATATTCAGGGGTAAACAAACTCCTACAAATAAAAGAAGTAAATACACAGCTGGAAATATGAGGATTATTGCGATAGAATTTTCCAATTTTTCTTTAATATGACTTTTTATTGTAATATTTGCATATCTATGATTTCATAAACATTATTTATGAATTTATATTGTAACAGTATCATAAAGTCTGTCATTGAGTCGACTGGCGTGGTTTCAAATCCCCTGTTGTATGTGACAAGGAGTAGGGTCGCCTGTCCAACCTCGTGGGTTTTCTTTGGGTCCTCCGGTTTCCTCCCACTGCTAAAGACCCCTATGCGCAAGCGAATTATAGCAATAAAATAAAACCATATGTTAGTCCCGAATTGACCTAGTTTGTGTCGAGTGGACGTTAAACCCCATTTCTCTCTCTCTCTATATTGTAACATTATCTTTCTCTATAATATTAATGGGTCTATTATTTTATTTCAATTTCAATTTTCATTGTAATATTAATGGGTCTATTATTTTATTTCAATTTCAATTTTCATTGTAATATTAATGCGTCTATTATTTTTCTCTATAATATTAATGCGTCTATTATTTTTCTCTATAATATTAATGCGTCTATTATTTTTCTCTATAATATTAATGCGTCTATTATTTTTCTCTATAATATTAATGTGTCTAGTATTTCATTTCAATTTCAATTTTCATTGTAATATTAATGTGTCTATTATTTTTCTCTATAATATTAACGTGTTTATTATTTGGTTTTATTTAATTTCAATTTTCATTGTAATATTAAAGGCTCAGTGTGTTAGATTTAGATAAAGAGCTGTCTGTTCTTAGTATAATAGTTATACCAAGTGGCTGCCAGGCAGGATACCCCCACATTTTGCAAGAGATGGATAGAGAACAAGCTAAAAACAAAAACGATTTTTTGTACAATCAGGACCATAATCCAGAAAGTTATGGTCTGAAATGCACAAATGTCAAAAGGGACTGAGATTTTGGGAATATAAAGATATGTGTTAAGTTTCATCATAATCGGATAAAAATTGTGACCTCTAGGAGGTCCATAACCTTTGAATTACATACTTATACACAATTTGCGTACAAAGAGCAGCCATTTTTTTTGGCACTTTCATTTCGATTTTCTCGAAATTCCAATTCATTGTGGTGGAATTGTGATATATCTAAATGATAATTGTATTCCATATGAAAAAGATCACAATTTAAAGAAGCATTATGTAAGATTTAGATAAAGAGCTGACAGGTCTCGCTATAATTGTTAAAAAAATACATAATGAAAAGGGAATATGTTGAAAATTTCAATCAAATTACTTCATTCTGAGCAGAGTTATCGCTGTTGGCAGAACAATGTAGTCTCGATTGTCATTGCTACCATTGCTACGACAATAAACAAAGTCCTGATTATCCATTTTTTATTAAATTATTAATTGGCAATCGTATTTAATTCTGTTGAAAACCGAAACCATCCGATGATCTAGAGAATTGATTATGGTCTTTTCATGTTAATAAATGTCTAATTAATAATTTAGATAACATTTATGGCCTAAAGAAAGACCTGCAATAGGCAGATTTAGCTCTTACATGCTGTATCTTTAAAGTTACTTCCTTACAAAAAAGTGAATATCCTGGAGTCAATTCTTCATTTGCCAAGTTATGCGATAATGCCATGTATTCCTGTCAGGGATAATATGAAACAGACCTTCCATTAGAACTGCTGATATGACAAACATTATAGATAATAAATGTCTGAAAGATTATCCAACAGAGTTCCACCCACAGCACATGCACTCAAATTTATTATTATTCAAATTTATTTTTAAAATTTTACCCAAATTCATAATGATGATGAGATATGCAAATAAAAATGAAACTTTTTCTGTACCAATTGGGCAAGTAAGACAGGTAAACACGATGCCATGCAGGAATTTTTGCCTGGACGGTGGCACTACAGTTTACTCTTATTTCAATTTCCAACCGTCAAAGGTTCTTTATGCATAGGACTTCGGTTATTAGTTCTGGTACCCCCTTGTCAGTGATGCAGAACGGAGGGCATGACAAGGACAGCTGTCTAGTCGTTCGGATGGGACGAAAATCCAAGGTCCCGTGTATACATTGGCGTGCAGGTAAAAGATCCTTTAACAGTTGGAATTTGATATAAGAGCAGGCCGCAGTGCCGCTGTCCGGGCAAAAATTTCCATCATAGCACACTGTATGGCGTATGTCCGTCTTCATTAGCCCAGTTCGGAGCAGAACAGTAGGACGTTAAAACCCCATTTCATTTTCATTTCATTTTCGGTTATTAGTTCCATCCAAATGACTAGACACTGTTCTTTGCTAGGGCCACTGTCACAAACCACTGACAAGGGCCACCGTCCCCTACCACAAGGGCCACCATCCCCTACCACTCACATGGGGAACCAGGCTGAATGAGCTTGGGATCAAACTTGGGACCCCATTATTCTTGAGCCAACACCAAAACATTGAGCCACAAACAAAGAATAGCACTTTGGTCTACTCAGCATTTTCTCTGCCTTTCCCTAACATATAAAATATATTAAATCAGCCAGTCACTTTTAACTATTTGTAACCTTGCATTATGAATAATCAACATAACACCACAAGCTTACATGTATATAGAATCTGTCAGTCACTTTAAACCTCTGTTAACTTACCTAACGTAAGTTAACTTACCTAACATATCATAGAATGACCCAGTCCCTTTAAACCATTGTCAACTTACATAACATATAATGAACAGGACATAGAATGTGACCGCCACTTCAAACCATTGTCAACTTAAATAACATAGAATTAACATAACATAGAATCAACCAGTCACTTTAAACCTCTGTCAACTTACCTAACGTAGAATTAACATATCATGGAATCAGCCAGTCACTTTAAAACACTGCCAACATAATAACATAGAATTAACATATCATAGAATCAGCCAGTCACTTTAAACCTCTGTCAACTTACATAACATAGAATTAACATAACATAACATAGAATGATCCAGTCCCCTTAAACCTCTGTCAACTTACATAACGTATAATGAACACATCCTAGAATGAACCTGCTACTTTAAACCTCTGTCAACTTACATAACATGGAATTAACATAATATAGAATCAACCAGTCACTTTAAACCTCTGTCAACTTACATAACATGGAATTAACATAATACCACAGGCTTACATGGAATCAATACATCATTATCTACTTCTTCGTCTTTTACCCATTAATTGATGAGATCCAAGAGATTTATTATTCACGGAAATCACAGAAAATGGAAAAAATCAATCTTTTGGGACAGACCATATCAAGTTCCGTAGCTTAAAAGGACATAAAGCATCCTGAGGTTAAAGTCCTGGATTAAATATCAATATTATCACCATTAATTTTACTAGCTTCTATTTTATTATAGTATTTTTATTACACACAATCAAGCCTGCAAATAAAGCACCTGTCACAGATATTGTCAGGTACAAATTAAGTTTTTGTCAGGCATATTAACTCCTGATCTGTCAATTTGTCTTTTTTCTTTAATACACTATACACACAAAGTTCTGTGCCCAAGGTACCGGTCATTTTGTCTGGCACAGATTTGTCTTTTTTACCATAATATGCACAAAGTTGTGTGCCCAACATTTTGTCATGTACAGAGAGAGAGAGAGAAAGAGAGAGAGAGAGAAAGAGAGAGAGAGAGAAAAGAGAAGAGAGAGGCAGAGAGAGAGAGGGAGAGAGTTCAAGGTCCATTTGACAGAAACTAGTTCATTTCGGTACAAACGTTTGGTTCACTTTTATTTCAATGGGGTTCTGTATATATAGCAGTGGCAGGAGAAACCTTGGGGCCCGGAGAAAACCCACAAGGTTGGACAGGCGACCCCAGAAGTTCTCTCTCTGATGATAATTATTGTTTAATTTTCACAATGCAAAACAAGCCAAAATGTCTCCTTCACATGTTTTAAAAGGGGTTCTATTACATCATCCTTCAGTCAGAATCAAATGAGATAAGTTTAGGGTCACATGATCATCCTTCAGTCAGAATCAAATGAGATAAGTTTAGGGTCACATGATCATCCTTCAGTCGTAATCCCATGAAATAAGTTTACGGTCACATGGTCATCTTTCAGTCAGAATCAAATGACATAAGTTTAGGGTCACATGGTCATCTTTCAGTCAGAATCAAATGACATAAGTTTAGGGTCACATGGTCATCCGAGCTGAGATTATGTTGAGGCCCACAAAACCTAGAAGGTTGTGATATATAGAATTATTGTGACTAAAACAAAATAACTAACCTTTGCGTTGTTGTTTTAAATCCAGAATATTACACACGTTTAAATAACTGATTGATAATCTCATGATAGACGCTTTATCCAATTGGCTTGTAATACTCGCTGGTAACGGCAGATTCTGCGATAAATCACAATATACCTCTGTTTCTTTACTCCGACGACACCGGGCTGCATCTCGGGATTTCTCCTTCCGTTTTTCAGTGTTTCTGAAATTAGAAAGAATAACATTTACAATATACTTCCTTAATGTAATAAGATAATAATATATAACAATATAATGATATAATATAATAATATCATGTCATGTCATATGTAAAATGTAATACACTATACCAATATGATGTAATATAATATATCAATATAATGTAATAATCTAATATTATATAACAATATAATGATATAACATACCAATATAATGTAATGATGTAATATACCAATATAATGTAATGATATAATATACCAATATATTATACAATATACCAATATAATGTAATATATTGTTAAAATGTAATGATATAATATAATATATCAATATAATGTAATGATGTAATATACCAATATGATGTAATGATATAATATACCAATATGATGTAATATAATATATCAATATAATGTAATGATGTAATATACCAATATAATGTAATGATATAATGATGTAATATAACATACCAATATAATGTAATGATGCAATATACCAATATAATGTAATGATATAATATACCAATATAATGTAATGATATAATAATGTAATATAATAATATCATGTCATGCAATATGTACTAATGTACTATAATATACTAATACGATGTAACCATGTAATCTTAGTTTTACATCCCATCCTAACAACTAGTCCTATAATTACTTAGCATTTCATATCATATCTGGCCTCGAGTTCACAAAGCATTCTCAGACTTAAGTTAAGAATTTACTCAAAATTGTTCGCCTTTTTAAAACTGAAATATAGCCATTTTTATGATACTTTTGTTGTTTTAATATATCAAATACATCAATAAGAAACTATTTGCAAAGTTTTGTGTTTTTGGATCACAGATATTTCTCATAAACAGTGATTGAAAGTTGAGTAAATTTTTGAATTAAGTCTGAAAATGCTTTGTGAAGTCGGGACCTGCACTTCGACTACACAACTAGCCTTATACATTTAATTACTTAGTATTTAATATCATAACTGCACTCCGACTACACGATACCCAATACTATTATTTTTTACACCCGATATCTCAACGTACGTGGACATATGACTTTCTAAGTACAATTATTTTCTTCAATTGCCGACGTAACTCACTATATTTTCGTGGGAGGAAATGAGAAAGCTACAAGGAAACGAACAACTTAAACTCTAAAAAAACTGTTTATGAGACTTTATGAAATAATGACTTGCATTTCGTACATGTAGGTTACAGAGAGAGAGATGATATGGGGTTTAACGTCTTACTGTTCTGCTCCTTACCTGGGCTAATGAAGACGGGCATACGCCATACAGTGTGTTATGAGGGAAATTTTGCCCGGACAGCGGCACTACGGCCTACTCTTATATCGAATCCCAACTGTCAAGAGATCTTTTACGTGCATGCCAATGTGTACATGCCAATCCATCCGAACAACTAGACAGCTGTACTTGTCAGGCCCTCCATCCTGCATCAACAGAGAGAGAGAGAGAGAGAGAGAGAGAGAGAGAGAGAGAGAGAGAGATCAACAATTTCAGGATGGTACAATTTATTTCAATAACAAGCTTGCAGATAGGAGTCTTTACACGTGGGTGGGAAACCAGAAAACCCACAGAAAACGTACAAGGTTGTGCAGTCAATACAAGCAGTCATAGATAACTGAAATTGTGTGTGTGTGTGTGTGAGTGTGAGTGAGAGAGTGAGAGAGAGAGAGAGAGAGAGAGGTCCACTCGACAAAAAAACTAGGTAATTTCGGGACTAACATATGGTTCAATCTAATTACAATAATTCGAAATTCGCTTGCGCATAGGGGTCTTTAGCAGAGGGGGGAAACCACAGGAGCCTGAGAACACTTGCGAGGTTGGACAGGCAACGCTACTCCTTGTCACGTACAACAGAGATTCAAAACGACGCCAGTTGACTCAATGACAGACCTTATGATACAACACATACACGTTAACCATTCGGCCACATCACCAGTTAGAAAGCCTACTGAAGTTGAATTCTTATTACCTACATTCTAAGGGAGGGTTATCTACATCTATATGAAACCTAAGACAAGTGGCCAGAAACTAAAAAATCAAAAGCCATAAAAAATACCCACAATTTTAATAGAACAATCATAAACCAATCCTATATTCTTGATCTTTCTTTTAAAAAATAAGATTCTGTCTCTTGGTTTCCTGTTTGAGTATGAAAATGTGGGCATGTCGGGGATTCTAATAGAAATTAAGTCGTACATGTAGTTCATTACATCAATACAGATTTAATTAATGACTTGAACTTGTCATCAAGTTTAAAGTGTTTTCGTTATCAAATTCAAGTGGTTATTTTAAAATAGGTTGATGTAAGATTTTAAAAAAATGCGTTTTGACATTAAACTATTTTCTGGTTTTGTCGGTTCATAACAGTGTTGTTATTGTGATTGTGATTGTGATTGATGATGATGATGATGATGACGATGATGATGATGTTTTTGATGATGATGATGGTTATGTTTTTGATGATGATGATGTTTCTGTTGTTGATGACAATGATGATGAGGATGATGATGTTTTTGTTGATGGTGATGGTGATAATGATGATGAAATCGAGTTGTGTAGTAAAATCCTTAATTTATATGTATAGAAGTCTTAACATTGGATTTTAAAACCATGAATGCTTCCGACTGCCATTTGTAATGAAGCTACGCGATGAACAAAGCTTAACATATCCCACACTGGAGAATACTAGCGGTGTAGACTGGAATAACCAGACACCAAAGACTGCCATTCAATTTAGACTCTTCGCTTATTTCGCCGAACATGACTGATTAGAAATTACAATAAAAACAGAAACTATCGAAAGTAAATCAGTTTATATACATTCATAATAGATTATTAAATGTGTTGCAACCCATTTATGTCCATTTCTAGTTGCCAAACAACAGGGATCTAGCTCCTTCAATAACACAGTAGTCGTTGATTGAACACACTTTAGAAAGTTTTTATTCAACAGTACAAAGTCCAAGTATTTCTATTCTAAACATGACATCATACATAATCATTATGTCAAATATATTATTATGTTATCAGTTTCATAACCCACATAATATCTGACGTGACACACTTTTCTCTCCCAAAAAAATTGGTCATTCGGTTTGTAATCTAAAAACTGGGGCTTAAGTCAAATTTAAACATACATTATTCAAGAGCTTAATCTGGCTATTGCAGGTCTTTCTTTAGGCCTGAAATGTTATATAAAACTAATTAACATATCCAAACCATAATCAACTTATGATGTCATCTTAATGTGTCAGATTTTCACTGGATTTGAATCCAATTTGCTACTCAACACTCATTGATGATTTAATCCAAAAATGGATAATCTAGACTATGTTTTTTTATCGTACCGACTTTAGTAATGGGGATTGAGGCTATACCTACAATTCAAACACTAATATCTCGGTTCAGAGTGCAGCAATTTGACTGAAATTTTCAGCATATTCCCTTTACATTATCTAGTTTTTAACTATTATTGTAAGAACTGCCAGCTCTTTATCCAATCTCCCTTAACGCTCCTTTAAATAATTTGTCTGCCCATAAAGAAAATCAGTGAATGTGCACCGTAAACAGGACAATTGGCACTCCCCAAAATCCCTACATTTTATTATGGATGTATTGATTGGGCACATTAATCCTTAATAATAATATTCATCTTGAGGTTAAGAAATAAAATGAAATGGGGTTTAATGTCCTACTGTTCTGCTCCTACTGGGCTAATGATGACAGGCATAGGCCATACATTGTGCTATGAGGGAAATTTTGCCCGGACAGCAGCGCTACATTCTACTCTTATATATCAAATTTCAACCTCCAAGGGTTCTTTTACATGCACATCAATTTACTGATGAATTTTCTCAGCCAACACCAGGATTAAACAAAGGACCTGCAGGTTACTGTGCCAACGTCTTACTGACTTCGCCACTGTGGCTCACGTTATGATTGTCATTTGAAAGATTTTGAACCTTTAGCAAACTACAAAATGAAATGAAATGAATCAATCTGATTCAAACACAGATCCAATTTCGTTTCGTTTTTATAGTTCAAAATTTCGATTTTACTTGTCTTTACTACACTTGGATCTGGAAGCGTTGTTATTTAACTCGTGTTCTGCTTGAAATGAGGGGTCAGCCAATCAAATGGTCTGTCGAATCGAGTGTTTGACCTTTTTTGCGCGGAACTTTGGCTAGACATTAGCGGCAATAGAAATCAAAACAAAGCAAATGTAGATAAAAAATACATGGCGGTCACTAATTGGTTAATCGAATGACTGACGTAATCGGGTCAAATGTCGCCTGCTTGGTACCTGACGTCATAGAACGTGAACTCCCACTATAACTTGTTAGATCTACATGTAGTGTAGGCCATCGAAAGTATAAAAAATGAAACAAAATATAGATGTATATTTTAATTAGATTGGAAATGAATTGAAATAGGGTTTAACATCCTACTGTTCTCTCAGCCATATGCCATGCAGTTTGTTATAAGGGAAATTTTGCTCCGGCAGCGGCAGTATGGCCTACTCTTATATCAAATTCTAACTGCCAAGGGATCTTTTACGTGCATGCCAATGTATACACAGGGTCTCGGTTTTTCATTCCATACGAATGACTAGACAGCTGTCTTTGTTGGGCTCTCTGTCCTGCACCACTGACAAGGGGAAACCACGTCGGAAAATCCCGATGAACTTTCTCGGGAAAATGCAGGGATAGAACACGCGACCTCCAGGCTAGTGAGCCAGCATGCCTACCCACTTAGCCATCCTTTAGCAAACTACAAATGTTGGTAACCAAGCAGAATTGTTTCATTACACAAAAGTGTTTTCAGAAATACTTTTGAGATATGACCTTTTGCAATCACAACAATATGCAGGCAAAATTGTTACTAAACCTAAGTGGCTACTGATCAACTAAACTCAACCAATCTTTTATCAGATTACTGCACAAGACATCATGAAATGTTAACCTTTTCCTGACTTAG